ACTTTTAGTTTTCTGCATGTTCTCCTATTATTTTTAAAGATGCAAGTATCAGTTCTTTCATATTACCAAGACAACAACACACTTAAGTTCATATAGTTAGTCTGTTTATTTTTGGACAGTCCTGGGGCTTGAACTCAGCTGTGGTGCTGTCCCTCAGCTCTTCAGCTTAAGGCGAGTGTTATACCACTTGAGCCACAGCACCACTTCCCGCGTTCTGGTGGTTAATTAGAGATAGGAGTCTCACAGACTTTCCTGACCAGGCTGGCATTGAACCATGATCCTCAGATCTCAGCCTCTTGAGTAGCTAGTATTACAAGCGTGAGCCACCAGTGTCTGGCAAGTTCACATAGTTATGTCACACACCAGTACTCAGCATGATCACACATCTGTCAATCGCATACATGATTGTAAAGCTCTGGTGTTCACCAGGGCCGGTGGGCAGCCTCACTGTGGATCTTTTGTTGGGTGTGTGGGACAAGCCTACTCTGGAGGAAGCTCACTAGCATTATGATGAGAGGCAGAAACCACAACACAGCCCAGCTTGCCAATCCAGCCTCCTCCACCCCTGGCAGAAGCCTTGACTTCTCTACTTTAGGACACTCTTGGCTGGAACCTAGTTCTTTCCTCAAGGACAGGAATGCCACTGGGTTTCTATCCCAGGGCCTTCCCACCCACCAGGCCACGAGCCACAGCTTCACTCTGATCTTCAGGTTTCATTATTTGATTAAGTTTGAGATATACTTAATCAGCTCCATGTGCCATGTAACTGTTCCACTCTAGTAGTGAAGGCAGGAAAGAGATAATTCACTCCAAAACACACCCAGGTAGGAAGCCTTGCATTATAGAATTACTGGTACTGGCTAGAAGTCATGGTACAAGTGGTAGAGCACCTGCCTAGCAAGCTCAAGCCCCAAGTTCAATTCCCAGTACTACCAAAAAACAAAAAAGTCCCTCTCTTAACTGGGCACCAGTGGCTCACAACCTATAATTCCAGCTACTCAGGAGGCTGAGATCCAGAAGGCTGGGACCAAAGCAGAAAAGCCCACCAGACTCCATCTCCAACATAACCAACAAAAAGCTAATCTGGCAACCATGACTTGAGTGGAAGAGCACCCGCCATAAGGAAGCAAGCCCAGCAAGAGTGTGAGGCTCTCCGTTCAAACCCCAGTAAACGAGTAACTACTGACAGTCATACTGCTCCAGCACTCACTAGACGGGGTGGCACACCACAGCTAGAATATTCTTTACCTGGCAATCTCACATTTGTTGACATCCAGTCCCCTCTTGGGCATGTAGCCCATGCCCCTCTGTGGCTCCTTGCTGCTGAATGTGTTGAGGTAGTGCACATACGGGGACTCGTCTGTGATCTCGAAGTAGCGGATACTGCTGTCACCCTGCAAGACAGCAGACGCAGGCCTGAGTTCCGTTAACGACAAGCCTCGCTCAGCAAGGCATCTCTTCCATATCCAGCAGTCCTTTGGAGCTGACCTCGCTCCTCCCTCACAAGAGGCTTGCCTACACACATGACAGCTTCTTTCCTGGAAGACTTCCCTTCTAACCCCCACTTATCAGCCACGAGGGCACAGTCTCCACCACCTCCTCAGGGCTCTTCCTTTATCCTGAGCCTAGAAACCAGGTCAAAGTTAGGGTGACAACAGCAATGCCCCTGATAAACCAGTGCCGATGATCTGACTTGACCGGAGTGTGGTTTGGGACCTTAGGATTTGCTCACAGATCAAGGACATCAACACCAGACAACTAGAGGACAAGAGAAGATGACAGTTTTCTAACTAGAAATGTCCCTTTTTGTGAGTAGCCTAAAACTCAGAACAAATACTGTCTCGTTGCACTGTGGAAAATTCTATGATGATCTTGCTTAGAGTGGAAAGGTGAAGCCCGAGGCCTATCATAATCCAAGTATAAAGAACTGTCACATAATCATGCTAGCCTGCACACTGAGGGTGACCCTGTCTGGGGGAGAGGACATGTGCGTGTTCATGTGCATGCGCTTACGCACACTCACACAGACAAAAAGAATGGGGCAGTGTTATGCCCTCACAGAGCTCTTCGTTCTCATAGTCTCCATTTGTTCCGGTGATCTAAAACAATGGAGGAGAAGGCAAGCTTTTTATACCAATTGTTTTCTGAATTCCCAAAATGCGTTTCCTCCCTGTGTGAACTCAGATCTAAACCACCAATCATGAAGTGCGAGGATATGATTTTCATATCCTGGGTTCATTTTGAACCCAGAATGCCCCTCTGTTCACTGGACCACCTGAGCATGCAGATGACTGTTCTAATTGCAGCTAGGTCCAACCCTGGCTTGGGCCAGAGCATCAAGCACAGCCTGCAAGACTTAAAACGTCAAAACTGTTTTTATCTCTGCTGGAGATGACCAAGTTCCCAGACAAATTAAAACCTGCAAGTGCTACAACACAGGGTCCCTCTCCTCAGTCTCTGGGGTCCAGGCAGGCACTTGTCTTGAATCCACAGCCCACCTTTCCACACAGGTACACGACGCTGGTGTCGGGGTCATAGAAAGGCAGCAGCACCCCGTTGCTCGTGTCCATCTCGTGAAGTGCAATTGGTTCTTGCATGTTTTTCTGAAAATAAAATGTACACATGTGCGCATGTTTATAAAGGTCAACTCTTTTTGTGTATATGTGTGCCAGTGCTGGGGCTCGAACTCAGGGACTAGGCATGGCCCCTTAGCTTTTTTCACCAAAGCTAGTGCTCTATCACCTGATCCGCAGCTCCGTGTCCACTTTTTGGTGGCTAACTGGAGACAAGAGTCTCATGGACTTTGCTGTCAGGGCTGGCTTTGAAATGAGATCCTCAGATCTCAGCCACTTGAGTAGCTAGAATTATAGGTATGAGCCATCTATAATCTAATCTCAAAGACAATTATTTTTTCTTTTTGGTCGGTTGTGGGGCCTGAATTCGGGGCCTGGGCGCTGTCCCTCAGCTCTTCAGCTCAAGGCTAGCACCCGACCACTTGAGCCACAATGCTACTTCCGGCTTTTTCTGCTTATGTGGTGCTGAGGAATCAAACCCAGGGACTCATGCATGCAAGGCAAACGCTCTACCACTGAGCCACCTTCCCAGACCTAAAAGACAAATTTTTGTAATAACCTCATTATATATTCATGGATGAAGGAGTGATTTTCCTCTAAGAGAAATCTAAAATTTGAACAATGTACACATAATCTTCATACACGTAAACACTAGATATCAAGCTCACTGAAGACTGTGTGCATCTGACACATCATTAATGCACACACTGGTGTGCGTCCATGTGATGGTGCCCTTCTCCTTTGTGGCTGTTTCTCATTTTCTTAGGAATACTTTGTTTTTATTGGAAGTGGCGCTGTAGCTCAAGTAGTAGAGCGCTTGCCTTGAGTTGAAGAGCTGAGGGACAACGCCCAGGCCCAGAGTTCAAGCCCCACGACCGACAAAAAAAAAAAAACAAACTATATACTTTGTTTTTATTGTAAAATAAATATAGGTAGTTCCAAGTATACAATATGATATATAGAAAAAAATATATAGAAATATATATATGATATATAGAAATATGTATCATGATTATCATAATAATACATGCTACAAAAGTAAGAAAGCAAATGTAAATAACTAGCCAGGAGCCTGGTGGCTCACGCCTATAAGCCAAGCTATTTATGAGGTTGAAACATAAGGGCCAAGGATCAAAACCAGCCTGAGCACCAAAGTCTGTGATATTCTTATCTCCAATTAACTACAAAAGGCCAGAAGTAGAGCTGTGGCTCAAGTGGTAAAGCACCAGTGTTAAGTTTGAAAAAGCTACGGGACAGCACCCTAGGCCCTGACTTCAAGCCCCGGTACTAGCACAATAAACAAACAAACCAACAAACAAATAAACAAGAACAAATACTTGTAAAAAATGAAGAGACAAGAACATAAAAGCCATCCCATCTTCCAGAACGGTCTAGTCAGTACAAAGAGCAGCACCACAAGCTGCCTCCTTCTGTCTGTCTGTCTGTCTGTCTGTCACACACACACATACACACACACACACACACGTATGTGTGTGGAATGCATCATCCACACCACCCAGGAGTTCTCCACCTGTTAGTCCCAGTCACGAACCACAGCTCTTGTTTAGTTAGACATCTGATCGATCATTCACTGTGAAATACAACTCAGGGCAGAACTTAGTTCCCAAGTTGTCCATTCTTTTCTGAAAGCACAGTTGACACACGCTGCTGGGGAACACCCAGAATGCATTTTTGTGCATATAGTTGCCAGTGAGTCTCCAGGAGGAGGAGCACTTGACAGCAGTTAAGAACCCTGAAACCCATTTCCCAGCCCAGAGCCCTGCCTGGAGCACAGAGAAGGAGCAGAGCCGAGGGCTGGGAAGGGGCCTACCGGGTTCCAGAGTGCCAGCTGCCGCTCGCTCATGCGGCTGAAGCCGGTGGTGAAGACGTTGCCATCAGCCAGGAAGATGGCTCGCATGGGCCTGGCTCCTTCATGTGCTTTCTCCTTCTCCTGGGAGAGGGAAGAGAGGTGAAGAGGCCTATCATATCTCACACACCTGGACTGCAGGGGAAGGTGCATGGGAACCCCCACCCCCCCGCACCCCAAACCGGACCCAATTTCAGCCCCCTCCTCTGGATTCATGTGTGCTCTCCTAGGTGAGACCTCAGTGCTAACCAGCTCCACCCATTAGCGGACAGTGACACCAGCAGGCAAGAGCACCAGGATGCAGCTCAGATACAGGGGGCTCAAGGCTCTGCCAAGGGTGTGCTTCTCTAGATTCAAATTAGTCTACAATCTCACCCCATCACAGTTCACACAGAAGCCCAGCCTCCTTCCCTAAGCTCCTTGTTTAATGAGGGCAGGAGTTCCCAACCTTGGGCCAGGCAAGTACCAGTGGTCACTAGGCCTGAACCTCTATTCAGATGTCATGCTGCCAAACATATCACATCTCAGGAAGGGCCCTAGAGTATGGCAGAAGTGAGGCATGCTGGGACTAAACTCCGACTGAAGATCCCATGTCCACCTCTTTGTCAGGAGATGGGCTTTGTGAGGCCTGAATAGAGAACCCCACCCAGCTCTGAAAGGTACCAAGACAATACTCTTGGAGACAGGGAGAGGAATTAAGTCAACAGTTAGCAAGGCCAGGAATGAAGTCAGGCTTTGCTGGACCAAACTTGTAAACTCTTAAGGATGCCAGTGAACAGATCAAAACTGATCCTTCGTGAACATGGCCACCACTTGAGTGAGCAGAGTGGAATCTGGAAAGGAAAGTGACAGGGAACAGCCAGTAGCCTGAACCCGTCTCTCTCCTCACTCACCATTGGCACCTGCGCTCAGCAAGGCCCACTGAGCGGGGGGAACGCAGCGCGACTCATGTGCCACATGCACTGGGGTTTGTCCCAGACAATACTCACAGCAACAATCTCCTGTTTCCTGGGGTCGATGACTCGCACTTTCTTGTCTTTGGAAGCGGTACAGATGAGACTGCCATTGCGGTTCCAGCTCACGTTGTAGATCATGTCTGAGTGCATATCGTCCAGGTTGATCAGGGCTTCCCCCGTCCCCACGTTCCAGATGATAATGGCATTGTCGCAGCCTGCAACGAGCAAACCATGCCCCTGAGAGATGAGAAACACCTGCACAGCAAACACTGGATAAACTGTGAGCCATCGCGAGGACAAAGCAGATGCACGGGAAGGCAGGTGCTGAGGACAGGGGCGCTGCTTACTTGAGTCCAAAGTGACAATGGGAAAAGACTTACAGAATCAGACTGTAAAAGAAAACCTGTACCCTGTTAAGTTTGGCTTCATTGGAACAAACCAATCAACCAACCTCAAACAACACAAATCTACTTCAAATAGAATCCTACTTTTTGATGGCTAATTGGGCTAGTGGCCCCAAGTCATTTCAAGTTTCCTTCCCTAGTAAAAACAAGCACAGAATCCAATTCTTCTCTTTTCCCAAAGGAACTTTAGATGGCAGGCTTTTGGCATGAGCAATGCTGTGACATCTGACAACAGAGGAGGGGGCATGACAGATCTTCACACTGTCAAACAGCAGAAAAGGAGGCCAGGAGTGGCTTGGTCCCATGACAAGTGCAATCCATGAAATAGTCTGTGCATTCAGAAACCGAGCCCCAGAGAGGCTCATGGCCCTCCAGGATCATTAACTCCACCCTGCCGTCCAATTACAGTCACCCCAAGGCCTTCACAGGACACTAGAGTTCAGGAAGAAGCAAAATCAGAGAAGGGCACATGAAAAATGAATTTTTGCCAATAAAGCCACACACACACACACACACACACACACACACACACACACACACACAC